CGGTGGTGCTAGGGGAGCAAACCGGCCGCCGCCCAAAACTCAGGGGAGAGGAGGCTTCAAGATGCGATGGCTTGGAGAGAGTATCGTCGACCGACAGACAGAGAAAAAAGTTGAGCTCTGTATTGTATTCTCGCATGGGATCAAAGATCGAGCGTTAACAGAAAAACAAAACAAAAAGACAATTATAGGGTCAAAGTTCAATTACGAATGCAATGCATAATTCTCAGGTACTTTTTATATATTTTTGATGGAATTTTATAGAAAATCAAGCCACCATGTGCTATAGAAAATTAGTCAAAAATTATTTTTTCTATTTAGTAAATGATAGAAATAAAACTTCAAATTATAAATTTAATTGCAAGAATTTACTACCCGAAAAAAATCATTGATGATGTTTTTAATTTATTTTTCTCACATCGAAACCTTTTTCACCTTTTTCGTAAAGGATAATATGTTTAGTTTCTTACAATTGATACGTTAACCCATTTCTGACACTGAACTTGTGCTATCGTCATATGACCAGTTCAAGAGTGGCGAGCAACTTTAGGCAAAAAAAAAAAAATCTAATCTAAATGTCTAAATTTGCTATTGAATCTAACAAAAAATTATATGATCCATAGTAAATATTTTTATTTTAGATATTGTTATTCATAACTAAAATAATTCACACGATTTAATCAGACAATTACAAAATATTACTTTTGATATGCATATTTGCAAGAATGCCACTTAGAAATATTCATTTGCAAAAATGCTACTAATTATAAAATTTTAAAGCCTAAATTTTAAAATTATAAACTCTAAAAAAAGTTTTGACCTCGAGAACTCCTTAAACCCTCAAAACTAAACCATAATACAACATAATTAACCCAAGTATTAAATGATATAATGAAAAAAATAATTTTGAAAAAGTGGTATTTTTGCAAAGATTTTGAAAATGTGGCATTTTTGAAAAGTGGCACAAGTGGCATTTCTTAAAATTTTTATTTAACTAAATGGATATTGAACACAAATGATTATAATATGTTGTTTTATCAAATTTTCAAGCTTAAAAAAAATTATACAAATAGTAGTAGTATTTTGGTGTAATGTGTTAACGACAAAGTCGACACTATAATATCAATAGAAATGGAGAAATTTTTAAAAAACGACAAAATCTTACTTAGTTATTAAGATATAAAATTGGATCCAATGAGCAATTCAATTATTCTTTGCTAATTGAATTGTAAATGAAGTTATTGTTAGTGTTATTAATGAAAATAAAATTAGTGCCAACAAACGAAAAAGAAAAAGTATATTATTTCATATTAAGA